AAGCCTTTCTGTGACTGGGAATCTTACAGAGAGCTTTTTCTGCTATTTTGGGGTAACCTGTTACTCTTTGCTTCTAGAATCATTCTGACTGCCTTCCCCTGGCTTTGTGGGATTGTGAGGAGCTCCTGACGTCCTGCAAAGGCTTAATTTGTGTCCATTTAGATTTCCTGCTTGTATTCTGGGCCTTCTCTCCACTCCAAATTATGGAAATTATGTCTTGATTTGCTAATCTATTACATCCCTTACAGAAGTGAACTCGGTAAGTGTGAGACTGTGGCACCTGAGTTCTAATGCCTAACAGTGGCAAGTTGTATTTTTAACTTGGCCTCATTGGCCAGGGATGCAGGGACAGACAGTGGCTTAAACTTTCCATTTTATGCCCAGCTCAGGAAGTCCTAAGCTCCTGAAGCAGCAATGTTGTGTGGAGTGGAAGATGTTTAAGACACAGTCTCTCTTAGTGGATGCTGCAGTTATTGAGTGCTGGGCCTGCTGTGGAACTTGCAATCGCTGCCGCTCATACTTGAGAACGACCGTATGTCAAATTCACAGAAATTACCCAAAACTTTGACTGTAATATGTCCTGTTCCCCAAAAGGGTTTTTATTCGCATGGCCTTATTGATGCCGATGTTGTTTCTCCTTTTCTTTCCCCCAAAGATTAAGGAAACAAAACAAGCATGTGCTGTCTAATCCTAGCATTCCAAATTATCACAGACTGTTGCCTGTTCTTGAAATAGTTTGAAACTGCACTGAAAGATGCATTTGTCTGTAATTTTTTTGTAAATGACATCACCTGTAAAGTCAACAAATAAATATTACATTCAAGTGTCTCTCTCTCAACATATGTAAGATGAAGTGTTGGCAGAAGATTGCAAATGGCATCAGTGGAAGTGGCATAGACCTCCAGTTGTGTGTGGACGTTAGAGGTCACTGTGAATCTAGAAGTTGATTATGAATACTTGAGTACACTGCTCCTTTTCTACCTTCTCCTGCTTAATCTTCCAAATGCTGACAAGGTGCAAGCCTAGAATGAACAGCCCAACACTGAGTGAGGTGGTGAGAGAAAGTAAAGCAGCGTGTAGAAGAGGAATTGGAGCAGGTGGCAGTCACTCCCTGGCAGAGTGGGTGTTAGCCTGCTGTAGGAAAGAACGTGGCTCGTAAGAATTGTCTGTATGCCAGGAGTGCTGCATAAGAGCTCACAAACACCCATTCAACGAGAGTGAGAAACACAAGGAGTTAACATTATTGCTGCTATTTAAAAAGAACAAACAAAACAACCCCTAGTGAAAGAATGTAGAGCTAGTACAACAGACTAGCCCTAGTGCTGTGAGAACCAGATCCCTCACTAACCAGCCATATACCTTCATCCTCAACCTGTGAAGAAAACCCTGCAGGTCTTGTTCCCAGTCAGATGCTTACAGCGTGCCAACAGTTTGCAAGGTGCACAAATGGTAATTTGAAGTTATGACTTCAGCCAGCAGGATTTGAACCCAGACTTCCAAAGGTGAATGAGTGCAGCAGGTACTAGCCTTCAAGACTGGTGTAACTGGTCAGCAGTTGGTCTGGATTCTACACTGGGGAGTGTTGGAAGCGGTTGAACCAGTAAACAGCTCAGACTAGGCCTCCCAGCAGTGCTGATACCAATGTTCCTGCCCCCTGTCCAACTGCAGTACCTGCCATCTTGCTTTACTATTCCTAGAGAATGTATTCATATGGGTTGCACTTTGGGAAATATTTATGTTCTGTTGTTGATGGATTTTCTATATTTATAGAATGCTGGTGCATATGGAAAGAGCAATTACTTAAAGTGCCTGCCTTCTGTCAACACGGTAGTGACTGCTTTAACTACTAAGGAGCCTAGGGATGAGGTCTAATTTGACAAACACAAAACCCTCTTGGCCTCCCTTGGAGGTGAGTTCAAGCTATAGCAGAACCTGATGTAACGAGGTATTTGGGGTGGATTTTTGAGTCATTTAATCAACTTTGTCCATTTGGGACTTATGCCAAGGTGGAATCACATCTCTCCATTTGACACTCCAGGACTGAACAGCCTTTTACTCAAAGCAAACTTTCTTCTCAGCTTATCCCTCATTGTAAATGCTGTTTTATTATTTTAAAAACCAATTATTTGGACCATTCATCAGCATCCCCCTTTTTTTTTTTTTTAAATCCTCCAAAGGCAAGTACATTCTGGTTAAAACTTTGTTGCATATAAAACTATTCTGGGGAAAAATATTAGTTAGACATGTTTTTTAGAAAACTGAATCTAATATAAAACTATTGTATTTTATAATTGGGCCTAGCTAGGGTTGGCTTTATGCTAGCTGTTGGCTGCAATAGGTGCCAATCTACTGAGGCTACTGTGGCTGGCTGTGAGCCTTCTTGGAAATTTAATAAAGACGTAAACAGTCATTTGTTTTTTTTAAAATTTTTTTTCAACTAATAAATTTTCATTTCATCTCTCAGTCTGCGTTTTGTTTCTTACCTCCTTCTTTATGCATCTTTAAGGAGAGCACAAGACGCCAAACTTAACCTCCACTGAAAGGCGTAATGAAGGGGGAACTGTTACCTGGGAAGAGGCAGGGGGACTGTAAACAGTTGGCTTTAATTTGAAGTTAATCTTCGCAGCAGCAGGGGGAGGCTGCCATGGAGAGCCCAGACCCAAGAAGGCTGATAGAGTGGCACCAGATCAACACCTGAGGAAAAGGTTCTCCCTAGAAGACTGGAGTAGCTGGAGAAGTAGGTGACTATGGAAATAGAAGCCAAAGATGGGACTTCAGTTGCAGATAATAATGATTGTGGCTTCTTTCCTCTGCTCCCTTTGGTGACTCGGGTTGAGACCTTTCTAGGTAAATGCTAGGTGACAGAGGGCTTGGTACTGTGTAGGTCTTAGTATGAGGCTTCTCTAAAGGGGCTGGGACCCTGCTTTCTGCCTTAACCCTTTCAACCCTGAAAAAGTATGTGCAGCTCCAGAGCAGAAAAGCCAAACTTAATTTTTATTTTATTTATTCAGTATCTTAACCATGGTATGAATTTGGGATCCTTGATGCAGTTGATGGGGCCTCCTCTGCCAGGGATGTTTCTTTTGTCTCCATTAAGGACTACCTACTCAGTGTGTTCCAACTGCTAAGCAGCATTGTTTTTTCCTTTTGGAAAGCAGACTGCCCAAAGGCTGGCATTTTCCTGAGGTGTCTCAGCAGAAAATACTTTTACAATCCTTCTCTCCCCCTCTTCACTTCAAGCCCGCAGGAAGCAGGATTAAATGATTTTTTTTACAGAAAAAATGGATGAAGGCATTGGCTTGAAGGTAGAAATCAATGGAAGTCTATATGCCAGGTCAGGCCTAGGCCTTGTGTGAAAAAAAGTAGTCTTCCACCACTTCACTTGCACCATCTGCTGCCAGAACCCAAAATTGCACCCAAATGAAACATTCAGTTTCACTTGTTCACAAAAAACTTGCACTGTTTTTCTGACACCATGGGCCAACACCTGTCCCTACGGATGACAACAGAATTATGCCTACATGTTTCAGTAGCATACAGCAGAATTTGGTCCCTGGTGTTTCACACTTCTATAGCTGCAGTTCAAGTGTTTCAAGGAGGACACCAGCATCATAATTAGAAATTACACAGATCTGCCTGTATGCTAGGAGGTGAGCAAGCAAGAAGCTTACAGTAAGAGAAAAGAAGTAATTTCATTCCAGGAAATGGGTGACAAACTGATGTGTGATTTCTAACACATAAGGTTTGGGTACTTAAAGTTGCTATTAGACTTTTAAAAATTCCTTGGAGGCAAGGGCCTACATCTTCCAGAGAACTCACTCACCAATGCAACATCTGGTTCTGTCTCTATACCAAGTTATTCCCTGTTCTGAAGAATGTTGTTGCAGGTATTCCATTTAATCTAGCATGGATTTTATTTTTTTTAGTGCTGCTAATTCTTGTCCTCAGCAGGTTAAAGGATCTCTGTATAGGGAGAGGTGACGGGTGCAACTCCTTGCTTGCAGGGTCCAGTAATTCCTGGTGTGGGTTTTCCATTCCAAAAGTGCTTCAGCAGTTAAAGAAGTGGCAAAAAATAAGGGATCAGAGCACTTTCCCCTTAAGACATCAGAGTTCAATTGCTGCCTCTGCCTATGGTCCTCTACCACTGAAGTGTGACTGCTGACCACCAAGTTACAGCACGAAGCAGATAGCTTGATGTGGGTACTGTGTTAGCTTTGGAGGGAAAAAGCTGAAGCAAATACAAATGGCCTTCCCGTGCATGGCAGAAGCACCGAACAATTCAGGTTTGCAGATCCTGAGGAACATTACTGTGAATAGCAGGGAGGCATGCTGGTCTCTGAAAGGGCCAGCTTAAGCCACCTTTCCTCAGTGTTTTGGGTCAGCCCTCATATATTGGCAATTCAAGGCATTACCTCTATGGTGAGCTTCAGTGCCCAATTTGGGGCTGTTGGTTCCCTTAGCCAGCACAGCACCTGTGAACTGGGAATCTTAGGGCATTTTTACATGTGTTCGTGATGCAGAAGAGCCAGGGCAGAGCTGTGATCCACTGCCTGCACACCCCTGCCCAGGGCATGGGGGTGCCAGATCACAGCTCTGGACCATGCTGTCACTACTGTAAGATCCAAGCCCTGGAGCAGCTCCATACCCTGCTAGGGCTGGTCTCTATGGAAACCCTGGACCTGCGCTGTCACTGCACCACTGTTCCTGGGGTCTCCAGGGAAATTGGCCACAGAAACATGGGGAGGGGCTGCTAGGAAATGGAGTCTGCCATGGGCCTGATCTAGCCATGGCCTACACCTTTTTATGACTCGCATCCTTGATCTTCAATAAACTGAAATCCTCAGGGCACTTCCAGACTGACAGGTGAGGGCCATGGTAACATTCCTACCCTCAGTTAATTGAATGTTCACAAGCAGCAGGCAAAAAGTATTGCTGATGTCAGCATGCTGCAAAATAGCTGAAGTAGGGAAGGAGATAAGAGCCAGTGAACAAGCTGTCCACATTCAACTCACTTTGTGTAATTATAACATTTGAGTACGAGTTCCTCATGGCTGTGTGAAAATTATTGATTTTTCTGGCTTGTTTATGAAGATTAAGGCAAAGGACAAGAGCTCGTTGCAAAAGAAGCTGGGCAAATAGATCCATAGGCTAAAAGTCTCACTGTTTCTTTGCCTCAACACAGTAGAGGTCTGAGCGTTTTTGGGCAAGAATGGGGAGTTGCTGGCGGATTTCTGCAAGCTTCTTCAAGTCTGTGAAAGATTAAGCAGGTGTTAGACATACAGAACCCATGGTACTTGGGAAACTTGAAGTCTGTGGGGAAGGCCATTTTACACCGGGGGAGGAACAATGGTTTTGATTTGTCAAGCTTGACTACACCTTTGTGTACTTGCATTGTGTGAGTTGGGTGAACAAAGCTTATGCAGGAGAGGAACGGAAAAATCTGGGCTTGTTCATTTCTGCAGATCACTAACATCCAGCTCACCAACACTACCCTCACAAGTGGCGCTTTGTTGAGAGTCTAGACGGAGAAGCAAAGGGCTGAACCAAGCCTGAGCTTCCCCTTAACTCTGCCTGGTCAGCAAGGGCCCTGCATGGTTCCTTGCATAATATCCAGAAACTTTCAGTCACCAGGCTGAAACCTCACACTCTAGAAAAGAACAGACTCCCCCATGTGCCTGTAGATAGGTGAGTGTAAGTGAGAAGCTTACAAAGAGTGCTGGCCTTTCTAACCTCTGACTGCTTTCCTTTTTTTTTGTGGTAAAGGAGGAAGAAATGCTATAGCCTTACCTATATCTGCATATATAACTGTTTCCTCAGTGCCAGCTTTGGCTATAACTTCCCCCCTGCAAAAAAGAAGCATGTGTTATGATTTATGGAAAGACAATCCCCAGAAAGAACTCTGTTGTGCCAGGCTTAACTACCCTCAGGGTTGACAAGTGTTTCCATGGTACTAGCTAACCTAAAATTTCCCTTGTTGCAACTTAAGACTTACTCCTTATCCTGTCCCCTGTGGACATGGAGAATGCCCAAGCACTGGCCTCTTTATAAACATCCTTAGTTTATAAAGGAAAAAAAAATATCTAATGCACAGGTGTAGATTGACCTGTTCCTTCCATAGATCAGTTTAGTGCCTGACTCATCCCCTAGCCTAGCAGGAACAATAAACTGCATGTGCCAAGGCCTCTCCATTTTCTAAGTCTTTACCCCCATCTTGGATTCTACTGATTTGTTTACTGCAAATAGCAGCTGTACTCACAGTGGCATATTTTAGTCAGGATGATTTATTAAATAGTCTTGATCCTAGACACTTTTTCACCATCTTCTTCCCCTAGCCACAGGCATTAATTTTTGCCACGTTTTAATGTAAAAAAGGTGGAGTCACCAGCAGATGGATTAAAAACAGGTTTCAATTTGACATGAGAACTAAAAGTTGTCTAGTTGACAAGTAACATGAATCGAGTTAATTACTGGAAGACAAAAAGTAATTATTACCTAGAAAATCTGTTGGTTGCATATTTTTCCTGATTTCTTTGAAGCTACTTAGGCTTATAGGAGAATATTACTTCTATTTAGGTCGGAATATCTTTCATATCTGTCTTATATCCTACAAATTCTTGCTCTGTCATTCTTACTCTTTGATTATGACAAGGTCAAAGTATTGCTGATTTCTCAGGAGGCTCTAGTGGAGAATCCCAAAGACGTCTCTGTTTTGGGATTAACCCTGTACCCACCACCTAGTTTGATTTTTGATGTACAATTATGCAAGTGAGTGTCATGTAAATAGCTTTCTTTTGTGGGATTTAATAAGCTAAGCAAATTTAATATACTGTTTTAACACACAAAGACAACTTTGTAAAGATAAAAGTATGCAGCATAACCATTCCGTAATGTTTTACTGGGTCTTTGCCTTTGCTGTTGACTGGAGTTCCTTAAAAAGCAGATGTAGAGTTTTATCCAACGAGCTTTTACGATTTTTATCTAAGTGCCACCTCGTTCCAATGATATTCAGAGGAGAACTCTACAGCTAAGTACAAACAGTCAAAACGCTGAGACTCAGTCCTCTCAGGTTAATCTAAACTGCATAGATTGAACTGATAAGCAAGTGAACAGGCACTCTTTTGTAGGCATGTGGCTGCATTTCCAGAATCAGTGGCCTAGGCCAGAAGCCAAGGGGGCACTAGAGCATGCCTCCCTGCTTGGCTGGAGAAAGCTTGGGTCAAGGCTAGCCTGCCCACTCTGTAAGGGGGGCCAGGGGAGAGCTTTGTGGGGGAGATGCAGAGCATCCTGGGGGACTGAGTTACCTTGAATCTGGAGGGGATCTGGGACAGAAGTTCAGTAAACCAATTTCAGTTCAATAAAACCAATTTTCAGTTAAGTCTGACACTACATCCAACCAGGTTTATCTTAAAGTTTTGGCCATTTTGAAAGCAGTTTATGTGCACTGAACTTCTGTTGTGTTACAGATTTGAATCACTTTCTGATCACTGATACCTTTTTACATGCAATTTCTCTCCCTAACCTAAAAGCATCTGACATGGGTATTGACCATGGGCCCAAACCAGTTTTCTTTGGTCCTAGGGACTGCGGCAATATTAAGGACAGGTTTGCTTCCCTCTGTCCTTAATTTTTTCTACAGAGGAGTCTTTTTTTTCTTTTCTTTGATGCATGTTTACTGTCAGCTGAATTACACATTTCCTTTATCAAGAGGGGGAGGGAGGATAATCTCAGGCTCCAAAGTAGTAAAGCACATTTCCTATCCCCCCTCGAATGTCATGATAATTCTACAAGACACTAGATTAAGGACCTTGTAACTGGATGTTTCCCTGAATAGGTACTGTCAATTGACATTCAGCTTTTTGCCTGAAGGGTTAATCATTCCACGTGCTACATCTACTCCTGAATCTCAGCTATTTTTTTCTCATTGCAAAAAACAAGGTTTTCAGTTCCTCTGTTCCTTTCTTTTGATTGAAAAACCACACAACCCACAAGGGAAACCATGAAAACTGACAGAACTTCCTGATAGTCACTAACTGGAAAAAACAGATTATGGGAAAATACAGGAAACCCTTGCTATTTATGAACTCAGGATTCATGGATTCAGATATTTGCGGTGTACCGCACCAACGGCACAGCTGCACTCAGGGTGGGTAGGGGTGGTGCACTGAGCTCCTGGCTCTGGCGCTGCATGGAGCAGGGGAGGGCAGAGCCATGAGGCAGGGAGACAGCGAGTGCCGGGAAGGGAGGTGACAGTGGCATCTTCTCTCCTGGAGACAGCCACGGCAGCACTCAGAGTGTGTGTGGCACGGCAGGGGGAAGGGGCTGGTCCCTAGGCGCTGCGGTGGAGCCCTGTGAACAATGGGGGGAGGAGAGCAGGGGGTGCTGTGGGGAGCCCCATCAGTATTCCTGGATTTCACCATTTGTGGGGATCTCTGGAACGTATCCCCCGCAAATGGTGAGAGTCTCCTGTAGACATGCGTAGTTTGATCAAAAAGTTATAAGACTTGATGTTCGGGGTATTGTTCATCAGGAATTTGTACCAAGTGGTCAAACGATCAATCAGGCCTTTTATAAAGAGGTTTTGATTTGTCTGAGTGATAAAGTTAGAAGAAACCACCGCGAGCTGTGTGAAAATGGTCGATGGTTTCAAGAATTTTTGGCTGAAAAAAAAAATTCCTGTGATACCACACCCTCTGTATTCACCTGACCTTACCCCATGTGATTTTTTTCTGTTCCCAAAAATCAAAATGAAGCTGAAAGGAAGGAGATTTGATGACGTTCCAGCCATCCATAAGAATGTGAAAGCAGAACTCAAAAAACTCAACAGTTGAAGACTTCCAGCATTGCTTCCAAAAGTGGCAGGAACATTGGGACAAGTGCATGTCATCTGGAGGAGATTACTTTGAAGGGGACAGGTCATAAAAAATGTTGTTTGTACACTATTCTTTAAAATAAAGGTTAAGTCTTAGAACTTTTTGATCACCCCTCATATCTTTACTATTAGCTAAAGGAATCTTAGGTGATTATATTTCATCCTCAAATTAACATTTTTAGACAAAACCTGCCTGAGATCTGTAAATTCTTGTTACCACCATGCACTCACCATGGATTTACAACAGTGCTGTGTCCCCAGGCAACATAAGATGCTTTTTCATCCCTAGCAGGAGATGCAGTTACCACATAGACTTGGTTATCGACAGCTCTGCATTCAAAGAATGACAAGGACAAGTTATTGCCTGCAATTTCCTACACCCGAAATGAACTGCTTTCAAGCAAAATATGAAGCAGAAAAAGCTATTCTAGAGAGGTAATCTGTATATTCCATTTCACTGCTCAGTATCTTAAGGAACACTAAACAGTCAAAACCATCAATCTCTATGCCAAGTGGCACAGAAATGGCCCAAAATATTTAGGTGTTCATTAAAATCAACTTAAACATGGGCTTTAAGTGAGGACGCATAGAAGTCCCAAACACTTCAAGGATCTCAAAGCAAGCAAACAGTAGCAGGAGCCTCTAGGGCTCTAATCCTATCCAATGCTGCCTCTCAGTCTAACTGTGAGAATAGCTGCTTATGGTCTGAATAGCTCTTAAAACCAAACCAAGTCTCGCTCTCCATACATGCCATGCCTGCAAGTACAGCACAGGGACAGCTAAATATGAAAAGTGCTTTTTAAATTCTAAGAATCCCTCACAGCACAATTAAAGCATTTGGGGGTTTTTTCCCCCCATTAGTGAATGGAGCCCTGTTTTGGTGCACTGTGGAAGCTTCAGGATTGATAAGTAACCTCCAGTGGGAGCAGTTAGGATAATTAATTCATATGGCCTCAGAGTCCAATAAGTTATTAAACAACAGTTAAACAAAAGTGAATCAGTTCAAGTTAAAGAGATCACCTAAGGAGAGGTTTGGTTATTTAGTTCTTACCTTCCTCTTTGCAGTAGCTCCCAGTGAGCTGGTCCTGTTGTCAGGTTAAAAGCTCCAGGATACACTAACAACTGGCAACCTTTAAGGAAAAATGCATGTTTTATAAGATAGCTCCATTGCTTTCATGTGGAACCAGGGATACCTTAGCCAAGAGGGCACTTGAAATGTGTGGTTATTCAGGGTGATTGTACCTCTTCTTGACTCACACGGCTTCAAGAGTCAGCCAGCAAAAATCACTTGAACATGAGGACTGACACAAAACTGGTACATGGGCTTAGATGTTAGACCCCAGTCAGTTATGCAATAACTGTGGGCTGGGACACTCTATCAATTATATTCCATGCTAGGTTCGTTGGTGCAAAGCAAGGACTGGCCTGTGCTTAACAAAATCTGTAGTAGAGACTTAAGAAATTTCTCTGCCTTGTAATGAATTTGTCAGGACTTCAGGATCCATAACTGGTTAAAATATACAGAACTTTGATCTGACTGATAAATAACCATCTATAGGAAGAAAAGTCCAGGATCTATGTTCATGGTTTAGCTTACCTGTACAGGTACATGCATCAGTTTCTAACATGGGGGACATGTATGTAGGACCAGCACACATTATTGTCTCAAGAGAAGGAACTACTCCTTTAACCACCCAGGCTGACACAATATTTTGGACCAGAAGCTCATGCACTCTGCTCCTGATGCAGCTGCAGACTGATCAGTAGGCTGCACCTCTTCTGAAGCAGCCTTCTCTGAATGGCTGATACTTCAATTACGGGCAAGTCTCAGTTGTACATAGTCTAGACATAGCAATACATCCTCACCTCTCTGACAGTAGATCTGAGCAAGCTCAGCAAACCGGATGTCATAGCAGATCCCCAGTCCCACTTTGCAGTATGCTGTACTCAAAACAAAAGACACCAGTCAGTGGCCACTGTCATGCAGAACATAGGAAGGCTTCTTTAGCAATCCTGGAAGCTCTGCTACAATGCCTTGCACCATAAGAAAGAAGAATTGACTTTCAACACATATTTCTATGATTCTATATTTTCTTACTTGTAATCCCTGTAACTGCAGTAAATTTCAGCAAGCACTGCCCAAGAAAGAATATCAATCTGAGATTTTTCTTTTTTTAAGATCCAAATGTGGCTAGAGCATTAGGGGAAAGAAGGAAGCCCTTGTCAGTTCTGCCTTATCAAACAGCTATATCTGCAAAAACTTGTCTTGTTATGTCCTTGTTCGGTTTAATACAAATCTCCTCAAGAATTATTGATCAGCAGGAATCTGGGTTTTCCGTTTCCCACGGACAAAAAGAAAAAAAAACCCACATAATTTTCCTTTTAACAGAGAAACACAAAGATTTCTGCACTTTTGCAAAGAGCGCTCTGCAGACTGGCAGAGTTCCAGCCTGCAAGGGGCTGGGGGGAGTGGGAGAAGAGCAGTCAGGCAAGGGGCACCATGTACATATACATCAGGGGTGGGCAATTATTTTGGGTGGAGGGCCACTTACCGAGTTTTGGCAAGCCATCAAGGGCCACATGAATGGCAGCCAGGGGCAGATAAATATTAATTTTCTAAAATTTTTAGGGGCCCCACGTGCCAGCTAGAATGGCCTGGCTGACTGCATCCAGCCCATGGGCCACATTTTGCCCACCCCTGGTATATATTTCATAGACATTAGGGCTGGAAGGGACCTTGGAA